TCTCTTGATTATTACTCCTTCCAAATAATAATAATAATAATAATAATAATAATAATAATATAATAATAATAATAATAATAATAATAATAATAATAATAGTAGTTGGTGAATTGGAAGCAATTAATAAGAAAAATAATAATTGATTTTTCTATGGGGCTACATTTCATATGCATGAATGATACCCTTTTTTATACTTCTAGTTTTTATTTGGATTGGGATTCTTGCTTGTTTCCCAGCAACAAAAAGTATATACTTCTAGTTCTTATTTGGATTGGGATTCTTGCTTGTTTCCCAGCAACAAAAAGTATATATAATATGGTTTTTTCCTTGTGTTTTATTGCTAAGTATAATCAATGGTTTTCTCTACCAATTTGTCTATATTCAAATTTATACGTTAAAAATCCATTTTCGAGTGAGTTAAAATTTGAATTGACACTAAATTAGAATCAAGCCTACATATGGAAAAACTTTATTTTTTGTTTTTCTATGAAGAATAATTCTCCAAATCGGCCGAGATGGTTCAAAACCATAAGGCCTTTGGTTTGGTTTCCTAAGCCGGGTTTTAGAACATGAGTCCACCTATCTTTCAGTAGGGTGTGAGGGGTGCTACTCACCGAAACCATCAGGTGATGGTAGTACCTCTATACCCTAATCACCAAGTTGTAATTTTCATTCTCATTGATACTAACTCCATTAGCACCTTCAAAAAAATAACTCCTAAACTATTTAAAAAACAGGCGGGGGCTTGCTGGTCTTCTCCATTGGATTATTAAAAAAAAAATGCTCTTGGAAATGAAAAGTATACAATAGGACTATTCATATTTGCTACATGAAATTCACCAATGATATTGACTACGGGACGTGAAATCGGACAACAATATTTATTCTATTGATCAAGTTCAAAGTTTGAAAGAAAAATTTTCAAACTTTATGACATACCTAAGCTGTTCGATTTTACATTTGATGGCTATAGAAAATGTTTCGTGAGTCAGCAGACTCACTAGCCTGTTGATTTACATATGTCCATCTTTAAGGTGAACCTTCGTAACTAAAGATTCCCATCCAATGGACGAAAAAATTTTAAAAAAAAATCTTTAAAGTTTTGTTCTATTTTATTTCATTTTTTATATTCATGATCGTCATAGACCTCTACAAATTTGGATCTAAAGTCTATATAAAAAATGGGTGTTAGAGCTAGCGCATGAGAATCGTATGAGTTGGGGGACTCATAAAAACTGGTTCCATTGGAAATATACGCATTGCACTAGTTGCATATGATCACAGGAAGATCCACAGCTCGCTTCATGTAATGGACAGTCGAGATTAATCATATGTGTCACTCATATAATCTCTACCATCGAACAAAAATTAGATGCCTCTTGGTGTAATATATGCCACACATCTCAAATACTCTGTCAAATAAACAAAAGTGCGGTTTGTATAGAATCGAGGATCTAAACAATCAAAGTAAAGCGTATCTTCAAATAATGTGGAGAAATGTGGTTTCAATATTGGAAATCTGTGTGATAGCCTTCATACATATTTTTATTTTTAATTATAAAATTAAAGCTTAAAAAATAGTGTACATCGAGCAGACCTATTAAAATTTGAAAATCTTGAAAATTGACGGTCCAAAAATGCATTATAAGATGCACTATTTCCAAAACTTGAAATCTATTTTTTTTCTCATGTCTATACTTCTTGGTATCAAGATGATCATTATGAGGATATTTGGGCATCAAAACAACCTCTTGTGCAATTTTTGAGGTGGGCTCTAATTTGATTGTTTAGAGCCTCAACTCTATATAAACTTTTTCATAAAAAACCAAGCATTGAAATCCTATATAATTTTTGAAATTTAGTTTTTTATATTTCATATTTCATACTCAATTAAAACTTTTTAAAAATATATAGCATATTTTAATTTTAAGTTTCTTTACACAGATTAAGCTCAAATTGGTTGTACCTCAAATCGCACTATAGCTCAAATAAAATTATTTCATAGATAAGGAAACATTGGGAACTTTTTTAAAATGTTCATACCAATGTTTTAAGACCCAAAAACTCCTGATCACATTGCCGACACAGATGGGGATTGGCAGTGATTGAACCGGCATCAAGATGGTATCAATCATGGCCCAATTGTCCTTAAACCCCATCCTTCATATTTTTTAAATTTTTCTTAAATTTATATAATATTTTCTTATGGAATAAATTTATATAAGGTTGAAACCTTATAATGTAGAATTACAGATGCACTTAAAAAATCCATCAAAAAAGGTAGTTTTAATGTTGAAACACCTTTTGATTGATCATCTCGACATCAAGATGTATGACCATAAAAAATAAAAAGATTTTAAGTCTAAGAAATAGTGCATTTTACAACATATTATCTACACCTTCTATTTTCAAGATTTCTATATGTTTATAGATCTATTTGATTTTAACCATGTTTGAAATTTAAAATTTTATAATTAAATATAAAAAATAGATTTTGAGATAATCCTAAAAATATTTTACATCAAAATTATATATCATGATAAAATTTGAATGTGCACCTTACCTCTAATCCGTATGCTTAAGTGCACCCTTTTTTTATATCCACCATAGTTCCCATCTCGTATATCTCTATTTAATTATTATTTTATTTTTTAATATTTTTATATCACCTATTCGAATACATTCATCTAGCGATCCAATACAGATATGATGATGGGTGAAGGATTCACCAACTGATCCGAGAGTTGAAAAGTTGGCTCATGCGACAACTAAAATTCAGCTTAAACTGAAAAAGTCAATTATGGATGAATTCGAAACAAAGGAAAAAGGACAAAAGAGGTTGTATATGTGTACTTAAATGTTGGCATGTATAGCATAGAATAGGGTCGATTTCAAAATCCAAACAATGAATGATAGCACGTGGAGTGGGTGAGCCTCGCGGTCCTTTCTCTCTCCTTCATCTCTCTCTCTCTCTCTCTAACGTCTCTTGACCCTCGACACATGGAAACTGCCCCGAAAATAAGGTCATCCACAAACGAATAACTCCAAAATAGTAAGTAGATATACCCATATTTCGGCCTTTCAAATTAACTGCCGATATTTCGGCTAAAACCCCAATATTACGTCTAACGTAATCTGGACCGCTGACGAAAAATCGCACCGTAACAATTAACGATATGGCTCCTGACGCGATGCGTCTTAACATGGAAGCAGTTCAACCTGCTTAACGGGGCAAGTTTTGGGTAGTCGTATTTAAAAAATAAAAAATATAAAAAATTTTAATAAAATATTTAAAATATATTTAAAAGAAAATATCGCAATATTTTTAATTTTTTGGTTTCATCTTACAATAAACCTTAAATTTTAAAAGGTATCTTAAAGTATAAAAATTGATAGATTTCATTTTTTCTAATCCTTGAGCTTTTTAAACTTATTTTTTTTAAGCCAAACAAATATTAAAAATGTATATTTTCTAAAAACCATCCTCTTAAATTTCTCTTTTTCTCTCTACCCGCACTCTTCTCTTTCTACGTTTTTTCCATCTTTAACCCCTCACTTTCTCTTCTCTCTTCAAGTTTATCATCTCTGTCCCCTCACACTCTCTCCGTACACATAAGTATTAGTGTAAAAAGAGATGTATTTGGATAAATACAATAATAGAGTGATTTATTTGGTGACAGAGAGATAGGTGTTTGAAAAAATGCAAGGGAATAGAGAGAGGTGTTTGGTTGTAGATAAAGATAGGTGTTTAGAAAAAACGCAGGGGAATAAGAAAGGTGTTTATTGGTAAAGAGAGATAAGTGTTTGGAAAAATAGGTGTTTGGTGGTAGAGAAAAATAGGTATTTGAATAAACACGGGACGAAAGAGGTATTTGGTGACGAGAGGTTATTGAGAAGAGAGAGACGTGTTTAAACATGGGAAGAGAGAGGTGTTTAAACACGATAGTTGGTGATGAAAGGTTAATGAGAAGAGAGAGGCGTTTAAACACGGAAAAAGAGAGGTGTGTAGATAGACATGGGAAGAAAAAGAGAAGTGTTCACGGGAGAAGAGAGAATGAAAACATTCAAGAGAAAGAAAGTATATAAATGAAGAGAGAGAAAAGGGATTGGGTTTAAAAAAAACATATCTTTTTCACGTTTGTTTAGATTTGAAGTAGTCGAGGGGTTGAAAGATATTTTTTGAAGCCTCGAGAATTAAAAAAAAAAAAACTTTAAAAAATAAATATTGAGATATTTTCCTATGAAGTATGATTAACCAAACACATCCAACTGAAGTTGAAAATTAATTAAAAAATACATTTTAACAAATTGATTTGTGCCGGGGCATCTTTAAAATATTTCAAAAAGATAGAAAAATACAAAAATAAATATTAATAGCCCAAATAACTTCCAATCTTTGCCAAAATGATGAAAAACATTAAAAAAAATACATTACAAACAAACTCCATTAATTTTTGGGATTAATTTTTGGGATTATATATATATATATATGTATATATTTTTTTTTATGTATTTATTTTTCTTTTTTTTAAAAAAAAAAAATAATACTCTGCCAGTTCCGGTTCACCAAAAAAAAGCCGAAAACCGCATCTAGCTAGGCCAGTTTCAATCCTGATCTACCTAGCGGTTAGAATTTGAACTGCCTGATCTTTCCTGCAGTGATTCTCTCTAGCTAGAAACAGAGAAACCCATGCTCTCTCCTGCAGGGATTCTGTATAGCTAGAAACATAGATACCCATGCTCTCTCTCTAGCTAGAGAGAGAACAAATGGAATTATGGAGAGAGAGTGTATGAATTATGGAATCACGACTTGAGAGAGGATACGGAATTAAGAATTCAGAGAGAGAGAGAGAGCATGTGAACTATGAAGTAAGAGAGATAATCCGGTGGAGGCAGTTGGCTCCCACTCTGGCCAGGTGCAGAGGAGAGAAGAGAGAGAGAGAGATTTGGGCTTGCCCATTATCTGCACCAGCAATCAGCATTCAACAAAAAAAGGGTAGAATTCAAACATCTTTGGAAAGAACGAATAATGTTACTCAAACAGAGAAGAACAAATAATGTTGCCGAAGAAGAGAAGAACAAATAATCTTGAACATAAAAATATGTGGGAAAAAAAAAAGCAGAGATTTACAAACAACAATGGATGATTCTTTTGTTGCTTTTCTTCATCTGACCTCTATGTAAGGACCTGCACATTTTGATGGTTTACATTGATTCAGTAGCTTGAATTTAGGTTTTTCCTCTTTCTCACTCTAGAGTCCTAAGAGAGATTCACAAATGAAGATTTTCGAACTGGGGCGCGGTCCTTTTGCTACTTTTCTGATTTTTCTCGCTCTAGAATCACAAAATTCATGACCCAAGATCTTCAAACAGGGATTTGAGTCTCTCTCTCTGCTTCCTCTTTCTCTCTCTCTCTAAAAGCCATGGAATTCATACTCAATTACTCAAACAGGGGGCATAGGAGAGGAATGTACCACTTTGTTCCGTCTCCCAACAAGCCAATTCAAAGTTGTCTTTGCAAATGAAGGTTTAGAGAGAGAAGACTCCATGCTTCTGCAACTCCCCACCTCTTCTTCCCATCCAATCTCGCTCATCTGATAAGAAGAGCACATCTCATCATGGTTTTCCCACTCTGTAAACTCTGTCTCTGTAAAGCTTCCCCTGTTACTGCCGTGCTTTACTTTCGAGTCCTCACCTCTCTGTAATGGCAATCTGAATGAGGAAGCTCTTCTCGACGACTCCACATTCGAAGAACTCTTCACTTTCGAGCCCTCACCTCTTTGTAATGGCAATCTGAATGAGAAAGCTCGTCTCGATGACTCCACATTCGAGGAACTGTCTCTCTTCGATCGCAACCATATCTTAGAAACCGAGAAACTCTCTCTCTTCTCCTTTTGAATCTCGAAATTCTCTCTCTTCTCACTCTGAATTTCGCCTCTTTTGCTCTCGAAGCCCCGAAATCCTTCCCTCCTTGAGTTTCCACAGTCTGACATAGCAAGCCTATGACCTGGTGTTAATGGAGGAAGACTTTGTTTCTTATTCCTTTGTTTTCTGGTGGATGGTTGAATCTCTACCTTGAGGAGAGAGGAATTGTCAAGAACATATTCAAAGGAACCCATTGAGTAACACCTTCTCTCTACACTGCGACTACTCTCTCCCCCCACAGTCGGAACGACATTTCTGAACTTTCCGAGCTTCACAGGCACCACTTTCATCTCGGAGCTCTTCACCTCTTCTCTTTCCAAAAACCCATCTCCAATTTCACCTGGTTTTCGTGAATTTTCGGTCCTCGAGGACCCGAACCCATCCTCCCCTGATAAACCCACTTGTGAAGCATTGATTCCCACCTGCCCGACTCCTCTCTCTAGATTCACCATCTCTCTAGAGCTCTCACTCCCTGACTCAAGAACCAGAACAACGGGCGAGCAATTAGGCGCAGAGAAATCAGGGAGAAGACTTCCTCTACAAAGTGGACATGTAGAGTGAGAAAGCAACCATGTATCTATGCACTGTAGATGAAAGGCATGGCTACACTTTGGCAACAATCTTAGCTTGTCCTCTGCTTCAAATTCACAGAGACAAACTGCACAATCAAAAGGGTTTTTGAGGCCTATAATGGCTTTGTAAAAGAAAACAGGAAGAGTGTCTATAAAAGATTGATCAACTCCTGCATCATGGAGATGGAATAGTTGCTGCAACTGACCTTGAAAAGCAGTCACATTTTCTAAATCATCTGGTTCTCTGGTTTGTGGTCTAATAAAAAACCTAACCAGAAGATGCAGAATACCAGAGATGAAAAAGATTATAGAAAGGATTATGATGATTAATAAGATGCTTGGGCTTATTCTGCTATCTCCACTAGATGGGGAATAGTCTCCCATTAGTGGGGGAGGAAATGTTTGCACAAATGGAGAAGAGGCCTGATCCATTTTCTCTCTCTAAATCTTTTCCTAGATGGAGAAACCCCAGTTCTTGTTTTTCATCTTCTCTCTCTAAATTTTTTGCTAGATGGAGAAAACCCAGTTCTTGTTTTTCATCTTCTCTCTCTAGTTCTCTTTTATAGTAGAGACCCTCAATTCGTGCCTGGTCTTCTTTTGCTCCAGTAGAAAAGAGCTCAAGTTTCTTCTTTTTGTTCTTATAGAGAGAAACCAACTAAATATACAGAAACAGGTAACATAATAACACTCAGTAAGGTTTTCTCTTCCTTTTCTAGAGAGGAAAGAGAACCCATTACATCTCTCTTCTCTGAGGTTACAGACTAACCAATTCAATTTTCTCAAGAAAATCTAAATGACAGGAGAGAAAACCCAGAACACCTTCTCTCTTCCTCAGCCAAAAAAAAAGAAAACAGCTCAATTTCATTTAAATAGAGAGAGTATCAGAGTACAAGTTACTCACCAAATTTGCAGGATTCAACAGAAGAAATCACCATTTCTCTCTCATGAATTTCACCATTTTCTCTCCCATGGGAAAACCCATCTTTCTGCATGCAAAGCCCAGTCTATATCAAACCCAAAACTACCATGAAACTTTACACAAAACTTATATACAGGGGACCAGACGCTGGATCAAAAGGCAGACCTTTGATAAAGACATGTGGTTAACTTTTTAAAATTGTTAAGAAACCCGCAAGTCAAATGGGTGGGGTGAAAGTGGAATCCTTCTAGGGTGAAGAAATAATGGAATGCCAGCAAGAAAGAGAGAGGAGAGAGAGAGAGAGAGAGAGAGAGATTGAATAGGAAGTTAAGAAAGAGGAGGGAGAGAGAGAGATTGAATAGGAAGTTAAGAGAGAGAGAGAGAGAGAGAGAGAGATTAGATAGACAGATAGAGAGAGAGATAGTAGAAGTA